CAGTGAAAGGGTCATCTTGGCCCAATGGTTGTTATTTAAAAAAATTGTGAAGCCAGCTTTCCCAAAAGATTGCTGTTGTCCTATATGTAGGACAGCCTCTACCTCTCTCTTTTCAAAAGCAAATGGTGACACAACATAAATTTTTAAGCAGGGGCAGATCCAGAGATATTTTCTGACAGTCTTCCAAATGATCTTTATTGATCTGTCCTCCATTTTGACCGTCTTTCGACAGAAAACATTAGATACCCATCAATGTAAACTTGAAAATCTGACCGTCACTCGGAAGACCCACAAAACGGCCTAAATCTGCCCCTGTTTAAGCTATAAAAAAATTCCACTTCCGCATCATTTTGCTCTAGATTTTTCATCAAAATAAACCTCTTAAAGGTTGAGAAGTGGATTTGAAGCTCAGAAGAGATGGCACTATGATATAATGCCCAATGCCACAACCGCTTCAGTTTCAACTTCTCAATTAATTTCGTCATGGGAAAGTTTATAAATAAATCTTTGTAGAGTACTTTTCATGCCTTGCCATGGCCAAGGATAATTGGATTATGTTAGTTTAATTCAATTCATTCCTATGCATCTCTAGATTATAATGACTTTTTACTATATAAGATGATATGATACTTTTAGTACATTACCATTACATTATTGGTGTCTGCATTACCAGAAAACAAGTAAATATACTATGATTAGAGACTGGCAGGAAAGGGCAGATCAATGATAATAATAGTAATTAAAGAGTCAATAATGTCTTCCATGGAATCCATTATGCTATTGAGAGACCCTAAAAAGAGGAGACAAATTATGAGGTGAGCTATAATTATATGGACGTAAGCCGTAATAAATTGATATTGGAGGCATATTTCACTTGTGTCCACTTAAAGGCAAAGGAATTGTTGTCATATATCGACTGGTCACAAAAGTGTGACACTTAAAAACTTCACAAAAAAATACTCCATCAGAGGGAAAGACCTTTTCTTTAAAGTAGAGTTCAAGGAGATCCTGCTAACAGATAGACAGTTCATGTACATTGTCATCTCCTGCAAACCCAGGCAGTGTAATTGCTTCATTTACATGAAGGAATATTTGGATGTCTACCTCAGTGAAAGGGTCACCCTGACCTCCCCAAATTATGTAAAAATCTCATGCTGAATCAGTGCCAGCGACTTGGACCTTTCGACTAGACTGGGTTCACATACCTAGATCGATCTAACAGGATCGATCCATCTCCAAGGGGTTTCTTGCTAAAGTGCTTTCAGCTTAACCAGCTTAGATGTCTGGCACGCCTACTGAAGCTGCTGAACAATAATTAATTACCCCCTAGCAGCTTCAGTAAGCTGAAAGCAATTTAGCAAGAATCCCCTTGAAAATAGATCGATCTGCAGTTAGTACGATAGGGTCTGGGAATGGTCCCTAAGACAGCTACACAGTTAACCCCATTTGAACTCCTTACAAGTGCTCTCAATTTAAACAGGTCTGGTCATAATGACCCTGAAATGACCAGCTTGACAAGTAATGACCCAATGGACCTATAATACCAAAAAAAAAGGAGCAGACATTGGCTCAGTGCCAGCTGTCTTAAAAGGCAGTTGAATCTTATCTTAATACCTTTAATTCTACCTATATAAGATGATCATCATGTCCATCTCAGTGAAAGGGTCATCTTGGCCCAATGGTTGTTATTTTAAAAAAATGTGAAGCCAGCTTTCCCAAAAGATTGCTGTTGTCCTATATGTAGGACAGCCTCTACCTCTCTCTTTTCAAAAGCAAATGGTGACACAACATAAATTTTTAAGCAGGGGCAGATCCAGAGATATTTTCTGACAGTCTTCCAAATGATCTTTGTTGATCTGTCCTCCATTTTGACCGTCTTTCGACAGAAAACATTAGATACCCATCAATGTAAACTTGAAAATCTGACCGTCTCTCGGAAAACCCACAAGACAGCCTAAATCCGCCGCTGTTTAAGCTATAAAAAATTCCACTTCCGCATCATTTTGCTCTAGATTTTTCATCGAAATAAACTTCTTCAAGGTTGAGAAGTGCATTTGAAGCTCAGAAGGGATGGCACTGTGATATAACGCCCAATGCCACAACCGCTTCAGTTTCAACTTCTCAATTAATTTCCTCATGGGACAGTTTAGAAATAAATCTTTGTAGAGTACATTTCATGCCTTGCAATGGCCAAGGATAATTGTATTATGTTAGTTTAATTTCAATTCCTGTACAGCTCTACATAGATTACAATAACCTTTTACTATATAATATGAATTGAATCTTTTAGTACATTACCATTACATTATTGGTGTTTGCATTACCAGAAAACAAATAAATATACTATGATTAGAGACTGACAAGAAAGGGCAGATCAATGATAATAATAGTAATCATAGAATCTATAATGTCTCTCATGAAATTCCATCTTGCAATTAAGAGACCGTAAAAAGGGGAGACAAATTACGGGGTGAGCTATAATTATATGGACCTAAGCCGTAATAAATTGATATTAGAGGCAGGGGGGGGACGGTGTAGTTTTACTGGATGAAATGATACACACAGTTGTGTAATCCAATCATCCTTGACCAAGTGCGTGCCAGACACTAAAATGACTTGAACTTTTCAATAAAGCAAGATGTGGAGCGATCTTAATGGGTATCATATTACATGTACCGTGGTGCTTCAGCCAACTTCAAGAAAAGTCAAGGGCCAAAGAAAGTGGAGCTCTGTTGTACGTCTGTTAATTTTGATTTTGAATTGGCTGAGAGGAAGTGAAACCCCCTGTAGCATACCGTAATTCCATGATGTGTTGGGACTATTCGAATTGATGCCCTATTGTGCTGCACTGATCAAAGTGATAAGGGCCTATGGCCGCATTCCCATAAAAAACCATCAGCCTGTGTAGATCAATCCTACTCTGCGGGGGACTCTCGCTGAGTGTAATCAGTTTTAGTGAATGACACACCTCCTCCTGGTGTTAAGTAGAATACATAGAAGTTGATATTATGTATAAATGTATGTTGGAATAAAAGAGGAGGCATGTCATTAGTTCAGCTGATTGCACTCAGCGAGAGTTCCTGCTGAGCTGGATTAATTTATGTAGACTGGCGTTGTCCAAGGGACTTGGACCTATATGACCGGTTTCACAAAATGAGTGACACTGAAATTTAAAAAAAAAAAAACTCATTTGTCATACTAGCAAATCATGCTAATTTGAGCTCTATTGTATAGCTGTAAATTATGGTTTTAAATTAACTTATTACGTTTTACTTTTGATGTTGAAAGTTCGCAGAGCTGCCCTGGCATGCCCCTCAGAGCTGCCCTGGCATGCCCCAGACCTTTTGTTAAATAACAACCTTTAATTGGCCCACAGGACAGTGTGGTCATCAGCTAATTTGACATTTAAGCCAATAAAACATGTCCAACTTGTCCGAATTGACAATGACCGGTGAAAAATGCATGCAAGCTGCCTTTTATACCAGGGAAATGGGTGCCATTACCTGTGTTAAGTGTGACAAGCTGTTGAGGTGTGGATGTCCCATGGATACATGATCCAAACTTAACAATACATGTAGATATGAAAAAAAAACTGGACGTATTGAGATTGAATGCCATTTTGAATTCTTCGTAGCTTGTTGTCCACCACAAACAGGGGAGGGTATTTATGCAGGCATTGTGTCAGCTTTAACCTGTAATATTTTGACAGATGCATACAAAAAAATAATAGATTAGCTTACAGCTAGATTTCAAAATTGCTCCACAGGTGGGCCGTGTTAATCTTTCAGTCAAATGTTAATGACTGCAAAATGTCCCTGAGGTAAAAGAGGGATTAGCTGTGTCTGACTTATGGCCGATTTTGGGAGCTACAAATATCATTGGCCTAGGAGGCCTGCCTCTTCCCCACCCTATATTTTCTGACTTTGTCACTAAATTGCAGCCTCTACTCTGGTAAAACTTTAGGGTACTGATGTTGACCACATCTTTTGCATTTATTTTCTGAACCCAACATTTCAATTTTTTTCATAAATTTCAAGAAAACCACTTGAAACCAAATCTAATTTTAGATCCATTAGGGGGTGGGGGGGGGGGGGTGGAGATTTCAAACGAACTGCCTTTTTTGCTGCTTACATGAAAGTTTCATGGGGAAAGGTCCACTTTTTTTAGAAAGAGACTCCTTCCCCCTCCCCTCCCCCCCCCTCTTTAGAATGGCTGTCTTTGGACCTGAACTTCAAACCAGTCTTAATAAAGCTCAATTTACTTATGCCGAAACCTAAGGGGCCTTGAGAGAGGGGAACGTTAAGGCACGTCTGGGTGGGGGGGGGGGGGGTGAGATGTTTCCTGCACTGGACATAACACCCACATCTCTCAATTTCAGTATGTCATGACTACTTGATTGGAATAAGTTTATTGGCCTCCCTTTTAATATTGAGATAAGGTAGAAAAACTTTGAGAGCATTGCTGTTCTTGTTTATGCCTGGTAATGTACCAGGTCTGGTGGTTATAGGTTTATTGTTTATGCCTGGTAATGTACCAGGTCTGGTGGTTATAGGTTTATTGTTTCAGTGACAGCTGAAAGACATTAAGAATGGATTCAAAAAAGAAATTTTTTGTAGGACATGAAATACTTGGCTGAAAAAGTTAATAAACTGATAAATAAATTTAAAAAATGGGTTAGATCAGCAAGAGTTTAATGGTGAAACACACTCTCATCTAGTGCAATGAAAATGGGGAGACATGAGCAATTGTTTGATCACATTTCTTAACATTATTGTGAAAAAGTCATGTTTTCCAATGGTCAGAAGAGGTTCCTAATCCTAATATGTAATAAATTAATCGTTAATCCTAATATGTAATAATATGGAAATAATTTGAAAGAGAAATATATGCAACCTGTGTGTACCCTATGTACAGGCACAGGGAGAGAAATGTTGGAACAAAATAAAAATAATTTCAATTACTTTTCCTAGTTTTGGTTTCTGACAAGAAATTTTCAGTGTCTTTTCACTCTTTAAGTCTCGATGAGTAGATATATACTTCCAGTTTTTTTTCAGGAAAATTCTAGAAATGTGTTAAATACATGGTGTTAGTTTCATTTCATCCAATGGCCATTGCTAACAGAATTTGCTTGATTGATTCCAATTATGTTCCCCCTGTACCTTTTATCTAACAAAAATTTACCAATTATAAACTGTAAGACCCCATTCCCATACCTAGATCGATCAAGCAGGGTCAACCCATCTGCGAGGGGTTTCTCACTAAATTACATTCAGCTTAAGCTGCTCTGATGCCTGGCATGCCTACTGAATCTGTTAGGGGATAATTAAATATCATTTACTCACTTCAGTAGGCTTGCCATACATCTAAGCTGCTTAATCTGAATACAAATTAGTGAGAATCCCCTCAGAGATGAGTCCGTCCTGCCAGATCGATCTAGGTATGGGAATGGGGTCTAACAATAGATTTGATGCGCTAGCTTGATAATTGTATCGTTATAATTTATATACGTGTTACTAATTGCAGAATCTACTAATTTACCTCTAAAAACTCACATTTTTTATTTATTTCAAGATATGTAACATTATTGAAAGAGGAGATGGATAAGACATTCTTAAGATTTGAATTGATATTTAAGAGCCAAATAAATTATTTTTATTACATCTTATACCACTGCAGTTGATCATATGTTAGTATATTCTCTTCTTCAGCAATATTGTCCAAGTTAATCTGACTTTTTAAACAGAATAAAGGATGAGGTTATTTTTTATGACTTTACATGATATTTTTATCATTCAGTCTTGGGCAAAAATGTTTTAATTATTAGGCTACTAGTTATATGCCCCAAACATAGACGTAAAAAACAGACAATTATTTGTTTAAATTAATTGTCATGTTGTTCCCTGACAGAAACCCTATAGGTTCCTATAGGAATAGGATCATATAGGTTTTTTCGGCCTATTTCAATATGACTCTCTATAGGAAATTTCTTTTAGGGTAACATAGATGCATCTTGTGCAGTCTGTAAAGTTTCTTATTATTCATTTTATTATCATTATTATTATTATTTTATTTGAACTGATAGGTGATCAACATATTTTTCTATTGCCAGATCTCCCACAATGCCTGGTGGTTTATTTGCAGCTGATCGCAAATATTTTTTTGACGTCGGTGCCTACGATCCAGGAATGGATGTGTGGGGAGGCGAAAATTTAGAAATCTCTTTTAGGGTGAGACTTGGATTAATATATTTTATTACAATAAATACCTTATTTTCCTCCTTGTTCTTATATGTGCAATTGTATGCTGCTTAGGGGATGCTAAAATAAAGTTCAATATTGAAAGTTTATGAAACAGTTTGTTATTTTATGTGGACAGAACTTTTTTATAACTTTGGTTGGGCTGAGGTCATTGAGGATTGCATGTTCTTTGTAATATTTTGCAATTTTGACACTTTGATTAGCTTGAAGTAATTAAGAGGTTGTGTTTACTGTTCAGGTCTGGATGTGTGGAGGTAGCCTTGAGTTCATTCCATGCTCAAGAGTAGGTCACATTTTCCGTTCCAGTCATCCTTATACATTCCCAGGTAAGTAGATTATTCTGTCACAACCAACACACTGTCACAACCAACACAATGGTACACCCAAAACAATGTCACACCAAACACACTGTCACACCTAACACGCTGTCACAACCAACACAATGGTACACCCAAAACAATGTCACACCAAACACATCATCACTCCTAACACACTAAATCATAACTCTTTTTCAAACCTTACACTGTAACAACCAACAAACTACCACATAGATCTATGACACACAGTCACTCCTTAAATAATGTAGAAAAAAAGATACAAAACTTATATACAAAAGTCATGGACACCATGATCCTTACACTGGCGGTTCAAGGAAAACTGTCATCGTCATTCCAAAAATGGTACAATCAAGCAGATTTTCGAAATGACCTGTATTTTCCTAACATTGATCACCCCTGATTTTCTAGACAATAGGCCTATTGGTTTTTCTTGAAATATATTTCACAGAAAATTGTAATTAAGGACACTAAACTATAAGTAAACTAAGATCCTAAGATATCTGAACAGTTCTAATGTTTGCGTTTCTATCTTTCAGGTAATAAAGACACTCATGGTATAAACTCTATGCGGCTGGCAGAGGTGTGGATGGACGAATACAAGAGATTATTTTATATGCACAGAAGAGATCTGTTGGTTAGTTGTTGATCTGCTGTTTTATAAATAGATAGATAATAGACAGATAAATTTATTTTATAATATAAATGTAAATAGAAGTAGATAAATATTACTTATGGAGGATAACCCAAAAAGTGTAAACACTTATTTCATTGTGGTCTTCAATAATAATAATAATAATAATAATAATAATAATAATAATAATAATAATAATAAACAACTTGAAGTGAATGTATTATAATTACAGTGTTTCATGTAGAATATGGCAGGTAAAGCAGCACCTGTTATAGGTGCTGTGTGAAAGGAGAACTATATGATGGTAGACTTATGAATGAAATTGAGTGTCGGGTGAATAAACTCCATGCTTGCCTAAGGTGCCATTTGCCATTTATAAGCCCATGCCTAGGGCCCCATTTAGAACAGGGGACTAACTAGTCCAAGGGTCAAATATGGTGACCCACAACAACTCTTGCCTTCTAATCCTCTAATACACGCATAGATATCCTGTGGGGAAGTATTCAAGTGGGTCGGCCATATTTGACCCTCGGACTTGTTAGTCCCCTATTTCTGAATTGGCCTAAGTGATCTATTTGAGAAACAGGAAGTTCATTTTTATTATGTACAGACACACGCCGTCGTCGCCGATGCCGATGGCGATGCCGTCGCCGTGCACTTTCACTGTAAACACGATAAGTGGAACACAGTTTTATTTTTTGGTTTTATATATTACAGAGCTGATGAATATTCATAAAACGCAGGTCAAGTTCGAAAATCAGCATGATCGGGCCATTATTGTAGAAGTTATGCTGTTTTATCACTTTTCAGCA